CCCTGTTTAGTAAATCTGGCCCTTCATTTTCAAATGTTTAATTAGTTAAAGCTTTGACGACATTAAAGTTGCAATTACTTCGCCACACTTTTTGAACTAGCAATGGCAGCTTAGACTGTTCCTACGCTAAATATTTGTAAAAACATTACAAAGGTCAAAAAGTATATTTGACTTTTGACACTACCATTCAGCTTCTGTGTACAGCCAAATGCATAGCCTTTCAAAGTACTCCATGTCTGCATCCAATAGCAAGTGCAAACACAGGCACACAAAAAACGCACACTAGAAAGTTTTATTTTTGTCCAGTGTCTGCACTACTTCTCTCCCGACATTGATCGATGAAAATGTCTGTTTTTTAACTAGAGTTGCGAGCATCTTTTATACACCTCACACAAGCGCTCATCACTGCGGGCGACTCTTGTTGTTGCGATCTTCAATATGCGATCTTGTTGCTATGTCTCTTCTTTTTCTTTTTGGACTGTTAAACAATGGCCGGGGCCAGAGTTGCTGCCTTGTGGACCAACTAGCCTAGTACGTACAAAAAATTCAAGCTGTATGCATGAGGCGAATATTCAAATGCAGTTATAAAAACCGGACCACGGGGCTACAGTGCACAACAATGTTGATGATGACATTTGTGTCACAATACATGCAGCGTAAAAAACAACTTTGGGCTTAAGCAGAACAATAGACTCCAGACCACTGGATCTGCATTACTACCTTGGATTGCGTTAATGGTGAAAGTCAAATAAATACAGCCAACTCAACTCGTATTTGCATTTTTGGCGTGCTATCAACACGCATAGCTGCTTTTCAGCGTGTTTATCAACGCCGTTGACTTAACGTTACATTACTGTATATATAAATATATGACCTACCCCAACCCCGTCCCTAAACCTACCCGTCACTGGGGTTAATACCATTTATTAGTCTTCCCCTACCATCCTAGGAAAAAAAATATCGCTCCCCAGATGTAGATCTACATTTTGCTTCGTTTCGCTCGGACATTTAACGGCGTAGACATACACGCGGATACAGGGGCGGACTGGGACCAAAAAGTGGCCCTGGACTTTCTGGCCCACAGCAGCCCACCACATCCCAAATCATAACACATTGGCTCATTAATGTGCAGAATATTTTTTAACACCACTTATAGCATAAAAATATAACACAATACAAAAATAAATGCTATTTAAACATTTATTTTAAGTAACACAACATATATAATATGATATATTAGGTCATATTTGTAAAACCAAAGGGAAACAAACAGAAGAAAATTAAGACACACAACATTATTAATATAAAACTATCAAGACAGCATATCAGCTGGGGGGAGCTAGAGCCATCAGAGCCTGTTGAACTGCTACTCTTCGCGCCAAATGTATAATCTGTTAATTTGAAGCATTTCACAGCATCTACCTCTAATGCTTTTTTTAACCGTCGGCTGAAATTGGTCCTTGTCGGCTTTTTTTCGGCCGAAAGAGGGAACTCTGATTGGCTGTTCAGCTTAGTGAACGAGTCAGTGCACTGCACGAGAATAATAGCAAAACAGCGAGCAAAGAAGTCAAAACAGCACAGATAGATGGCTGTTCTAATGTTACGTCATATTACCTGAGTGTTCCTTGGCGAATATTTAAATATTAACATGAGAGGAGTGGAATAAAGAAAGTGTTTAGCAGGATTGATATTCAGAACGGTAACGTTAAGCACGCACTGCTTTGTTTACGGTGTGTATCTGCAGCCGCCAGCGTCGGTTTCTCTTTTTGAATGATGAATATAGGCGAATATATCTGCAGAAATAGACAGTTGTCCCATTTACACCCAGGCGCAGAATGCGCATTCTAGCTGACAGTCGGCTGTAGTTCTCTCGGTGTGTTCAAGTGCAGCTTTTTTCCCGCGACACAGGCGACGCGGCGATGCGAGGCGACGACACAGTAGGCTTTCATCGGCGTTGGCTTGCTGTGTTTCCAGGACGTGAAAGAGGGTGTGTTTCAAGATACGCAATGGAGTAGACCAAACTTAACAGGGAGGGAGGGCAATACACTCACACATGCATGCACACGAAACACACTCATTGTCGGCCGCGCCCGCGCGATCGATTCCCTCATCCATTTGCGTAGAAAAGAAATGTAATATTATGATTTCCGTCATTTTTTTATATATATATATTTTTTATATGTGTACCGGGCCGGCCCACATTGGCCAGCGGCCCACCGGGAAAAGTCCCGGTGCTCCAGATGGCCAGTCCGCCCCTGCGCGGATAGCTCAAAATGTGTATAGATAAAACGCCACTTGACTTGAAAGTGGCGTGCATGTTTACGCAAAAGTCATGATGTCATGTTGGCCAACTAAACACTGACAATTTAAGATTTTTCATCATTTATTGTCTGTATACTTTCCTAACAAATAAACAGGACAGTTGCATTGGATTAACGCACTACAGAGCAGACAGAGCAGACAGGGGTCACCAAACCAGGCCCTGATTAGTGCACACAAATCTTTATGCCATCTCAGGTCTGGAAGCGGCTCACACCAGGCTTCTGTTGAGACTCAAAGCCCATTTAGGATTTAATGAGACATAATGAGTTGGACGGCAAAACATTCTGACAAACCGAGTGACCAGAAGAGGGAAAGTATTTTAACATTGCCTTGCCCTTTACTTGCACTTTTTCCTCGTAAGCCATGCGTCTTCATGTTCCTGTCAAGAGTACACACATTCAAGATCCAAAGAAAGACTGATGTTTATTTAGGCCAGTGTCAATCCATCCATTGCATAATGCAGAAGCATTCCCAAATAGTAATCCAGAGCCAAACAGGTTTACATTTGGGAGGGTATGGCTAGATGGGGTCTGCTTGCTCTGCTGACCACATGTGACCCTTAGCCTTTCTTGCTTAGGAATCTTTTAGCCCAGTTCTTGTATGACCCAACCAATTCTTACGATACCACCATCTTATAGGAATTATTTGGCGTTTTCATGAAACAAGTCGTCTGTAAATGCAAAAAAAAAATCACAATGAAACAGAAGTAGCACCAAGTCTTCTCTTATACTGTGAAGTATATGAGTGAAATGAATTATCAAAAAATAATACAATATAGAGTGGGACTTTTCGGCAAGCGTCACAAGGGAGAATTCTGAGGGAGAATAAAAAATTAACAGATCAAAACTAATTAAAAAATAACTAAAAAACGTAACATGCATTGATGAATTGTTCACAATACGATCAATGACATAGACTGGGTGAATTTTCATTTCATGCCGACTTTACGATACGTTTATTTTTAAGACCGTTTCAAGACCAGACTAATGGTGAAAAGTAGAGCTTAAATAAACCAATGCATTCCTGAAGTTTCCAATTGACACTAAGCATTAGGAGGTTTAACTGCCAAATGGAGAATAGATTGTGTTTTGGCTTCTTTGACGGCACTCGGGTCCACAGAATTTGTTTACTTTCAGTCTGAAAATGACAAAAGATGGTCTTGACCTGAGATTTGAACTGCGTGTTGAACTTGCAGCTCCAGATCTATGGCCACCTAAATCACATGTAAGCCTCAAAAAAATCTCTGGTCTCATTATACAAATCACAACCTGCTATGACTCTCCTTTTAAAGAGAACCAATTATAACATTACACGCCCTCAGGGTCCCTTCTCTTTTATAGTGATTAATTCACAGGTTCAGACACATGTTCATCTCACGTGCATTAAGGCAGACATCCACATTCTGCCACACTTTTTGGCGTGCAAATTCTACAAGAAGTTTCACATATCTGATTATGGAAAATTGCGTCACGTCAATCTAGATGCTCAGAGTGAAGTGATACCGAGCATGTCGTAGCGAATTTGTGCGTCACTGCAGATTCAGTCATTTTCCTCACTTCTTCTTCTGGCCCGAAAAGGCGCCAGTCTTTGTCTCGCACTTTGGGAAATCTGGCAGCTCTGCAAAGTTATGCAAGACTTAATTCTCAACACCCGCACAACCGCTGACTGTATACCGGCAGTTACTTCACAAGACAGGAAGGAAAGCTGAGACCTGGCTCATTTACAGAGCAGATTCTGTCTTGAAGCTTAAAGGCAGCTACTTTTGACAATACGCCAAAAAAAAAAAAAAAAAAAAAATTGGTGTGCCAGCCAAGATAGATAGGTTTTTTTTTTGTTTTGTTTGTGTATTTACTTATCAAAATATCTAGAAAGTATTCTGCCAAGCACTAAAAGTGTTCATATTGCACAACTTGTCTAACCACATAAAACAATTTGACACAAGGGAACATGATATACACAATCTTGTGTGCATACTTGTCAAGACATCCCATTGATGTCTATTAATCTTATATTAAAGACATAGCCCATATACATATATATATATATACACACAAACATATATATATATATATATATATATGTGTGCGTGTAGTTTAATAACTGTAGTTAATAATGTACTTTGCCAGAGACTACGGTTACTATGGTAAATAGAAACCCATCTGCACCCATCTGAAATCACTGATGAAAACTTTTGACTAATAAGCCATTTAAGTCACAAAATGGATTGTTTTGGCGTTAAACCTGAGCTATAAAGTGAGATAAAAAACAGTTTTCTCCAAGTTCAGCTAAGCCTGTCAAGCTCAAGCAGACAGACGATTTAAACGTCTAGCTAGCTAGTTTCATAACACACATACAGATGAGCCATGTGGCTTTTGGCAGCTCACTTGTAAAGGAAAGCAGGATAATCTTATCCTGTGGGAAGGATTGTGGGAGGCAGGTTGTATTAAAAGTTGCTCTTACACATTTATCATGAAGAAATCTGACAGAAATCGATCAATAACGCTCAAAACACAAGCGAGTCGATCGTGATCGCGCACCGTCATATTTAAATACCCCCAACGCGCGTCACCAGCACTTTCACATGACACCCTTGATTTACACCAAAAATACACCCGTGGCATGGCAGCCTGTACATACCAACATTCACACATATGTTAAATAGACCATAATTTACATACCTGCCGTGGAACCAGTCCTTACAAATGTCGCATTCGATCATAAACCGGTTAAAATCATAGGGCCGCCGGCAGACACAGTATAGCGGGGCAGCCGCCATCTTCCTAATGTCCCTAAACAACGCTGAGCACTGTAGGGGCGGGGTTAACGTCAGCGGAATCTGCCGAAGGGAAATAGGGGCGTGGTTAACACAAGCGGAAACTGCCGAAGGAAAATCGGACTGTGCCGACATCTGTGCCTTCCACTGCATACATGGGCTCAAACACGAACACTTGGAGGTTTCAATATTAAACGAAGAATTACTTTTCACAATAAAATTCAATTTATACACGGTACTGCTGTTAAAATTATTATTAGGGTCTCGATTTTATTTTTTTCTGAGCCGATAACACCATAGTTCACTGACCTACTAATATGATGTTCATGTCAAATGACACACAGGGCACTGCCTGAGGCGAGACACTAAAAGTAAAGCAAGTGTGTAATATAAATTGTAAACCAGATTTGATAACTACTACAGAATCACAAACTTTGCCAATTTGTACTCCATATAGGCTAATCCATACCATTTCAATATCAAAAGTAATGATGCTCACTTTATTTATAATAATATGAATTAGTGATCAAATGCCAAATGAAGTACGCAAAGGTAGACTATACAGGAAAAGACGCGAGGGTAATTGGAACAATTGCACAGAAGAAAGACAAACATGAAACATCTCCTGTATAATAATAACAACTCAGAATCGGCGTGCTGGACGTGCTTTACGTGATCAGCGGCGCTCTGTGACATGCGCATATAGTAGCTGGGGGGAGGGGCTAGCAACAGATCACACTGCACTGGCAATTTCTTTCTTTTTTTCTTCAGTGTTTTAGCGCCATGGCAAGTACGAACAATATTTTGAACAAAAAATTACACATAAATGTTGACACATTAACACACACACACACACACGCACACGCACACGCACACGCACACGCACACGCACACGCACACACACACACACACACACACACACACTCACACACACAGAAGAATAAAATTTGATATAATGTGAAAAATAAATGAACATTACTATATAATATATATAAATATCAATATCAAATATAAATAAACAAATAATTAACAAATACATTCTGAATACGTATATAGATAAATATTGACAATATCATTACAAATAATTTGTTTTATAACATTGATACAAATACATAAACAATCATTATAAAGTATTTTTATATATTGATGATATTGTTGATATATGTATATATAACTTTACCTTAACAATACTTTTTAATGTTTGATCATAATGTATGTGTGTGACTGTGTGTGTGTATATATATATATATATATATATATATATATATATATATATATTTCATAGGGAAATAATCAGTAATACGATCATTTTCCGAATCTTTTTTAATGGTTTCAAAAATAATTTCTGGAGGGTGAGGGATCAAAATCTACAATTGAATTTAACACAAGCAAAGCTATTTACAGGACATGGTGACTGCGAAAATACGACTTTGACTTGTGCGCCATCTAGCGTTAGATGGATAAATGTGACCGTGTCACTGTACTGACATGTACTGGTATCGATTACCACACCACACCACACGTACATTGAAATTTTTTCATAGTAACAGTAAAAAAAAAAAAAAAAAAAAGGAATGCATAAGGTGATGGTCTATTTGATTAAATAAAAAATAACCTGATTTTTACATTTATGATTAAATTGCTTTTGTTGTATCTGCTTACGATGTAAATCTCAATTATTACTATTATTCTGTTAAATCCTAACAGTAGTAGTAGTCATAATGGTAGGCTTGTAATAGGCCTACTTGTAATAAATGTATAGCTCTAGTACTAGAAATAGTGTATATAACTGTTTTTCAATATAGTATGTTGATTTTTAATAATGGTCATGAATAAAAGTAGTTGGAATTTAATGTTTTAATGCTGATCAGCTTGTCTGGTTTTTTTCCCCCAGTGATTTTGCCAGTTATTTCTAATTTGAAACGAGTGATTACGACAATCTTGCTTAAAACATTTTTACTGTGCCAATTGTATTGATATTATCAGTGTATCTGATATAAATTATCAATTAAAAAGTGTTTTAATCATTATAAGTGATAAACATATTCTCTTTTCTCTCAGTTGTGAGATCTTCCAGCAGTGAAGAGGTCAGATAACACACGGCTCGGGGTCTTCAGGTCTGAGTGATGCTCATATACGTAATATTAAGACTGAGAACTTGGCTTGTTGGTCAGGGGAAACGACTAAAATTAGCATTTCGATCAATGTACAACAGATTCAGAAGATGAGGATGGCAGAGATGACGCAGATCCTCAAATTAGGAGACCTCAAATGGACAGCATTGATCATCAGGGTGACCATGAATCTGAGTGTAACATCACAATCCCCATTCAGTTCAGAGACACTGAGGAGATGAGCTCTTTACTGCAGTGGATCTACATTTATGCTGTCATGCAAACTTTCTCAGTGACCACTAGATGTGGCTAGAACTCACTGTGTGTTCTGGTTTTGTATAGTACTCCCTTATTGGGAACAAGTTGAACACACAGGACAAGTCTTAAGGGTGCAAAGGCAGGCCCACCCTAAGCTAATCAGGCCCGGGTGTGTGTCTCCATCATTTTGAGACCCAAGCGGGGTCTGGGTCTACCGGACCCACTTCATTGACTATATTTCCATTATGTTGTACAATGACAGACATGGCAGCTAATTCCCACCATGCCATTTTCTGTATGGTCTTCCATTGTGATTTTTTTTTTTTTTAACAGATGATTCACATTTCACCACAGCAAAAAAAAAAACATACAAAAAACATTTAGGACTCAGACTAAGACATCGGACTCAACTCAAAAACCGAGGAAATCTGAATTTAGACATGCCAGTTGAAGAAATGTGAAAGTGTTGTGTGAACTGTCAAAGTGTGTGTGGAGAATGAGAGGGTGCGGGAAAAAAAGACAGCTGAAAAACTTGCTAACATGCAGAAAGGTCAGCGGCAGTACCAGTCCTCGAAGTCTTACTGTATCAACATTACACAAGCCAAGAATGAAATCAACTAAATCACCACCCATTAACTGAGTTTTAGGTCAGAACTTCTAACAAAATCTCTTCAAAAACATGTTTACGCAACCAGATATTTCGCTGAACGTTCAGTACAAACACATAAACAGATACGCATGTAAAGATATATTTGACATTTTCTGAACTAGAAAAACATGCCGCTTAGATGTTAGGGTTTTGGTATGATGCTAAAACGTTCTAAATTGCCTGTGTGGTTGCTAGGGTGTTGCTATAGGTTGCACGAGACAAATGATCCAACCTTTAAGTCAAGATAAATATGGCTCAGGTCACTCGTTCAATGTAAACCTATGGGATGTTTTTTAATAAGTATGAGCAACAGTAGCAAACACCACAAATCGCGTATACTTTAAAGTAAATAATTTAGCACATACCTATAACGTTAAATACATCCACATGTTGAAGCCAAGTTAAACACTCTTCCAATACATCACAGGTACAGTCTATATATAGATGTGCTGACAGGCCGTATCCCATGGCTCCAACTCAAAGTGTTTATGTTGACTTGATAGACTCCTTAACACTCATATATCCTTAAGGATTTTTGTCTTGCATATAAAAGATGCATAGAATTGTGCTAATTTTAACACGTGATAAAACCTATTTAACCTAATTTCCTCTTCTGATGCATCTAAACAGCTGGAAAACCTAATCTGCACCACACATCCCTGCAGATAAGTGGTGTGTATCAACACATTACTTGTAGATAAGTGTTGTATTTCTCCTCTCCCATGCCTCTCTATCTGCCTTATGGGTCTCTGTGGACCAGATCACATATCTATATCTCATCAAAAGTGTCTGGTTTCTTCCTGTGAGAGTTTCCTTGACCTCAATATTACTGTCTTCACAGATTGTATTTTAGGTATGATATTTTCTATTATGTTTTCACTTACTAATATTGACTACTGATGTATATTATTATATTGAGAGACTAAAGCTTTTGTCTAGGTCTAAAATCAAAGTTAAAATAACTTATTGGCATAAAATAATAATAATAATAATTAATAGTAAACTATATAAGACATTACAAAATATTAGCAATATTTTTATTAGCCAATTAATAAAATACCACAAATGAAATGTGTCAAGGTGCGATAACTGTCCTGATATCATAATGAAAAAAAAAGTCGTAGTTTGGCATATGTTATATATTATTACTTTTTAGACAAAAAAGGTCACACTTTAGATTAGGGGCCAATTCTAACTATTAACTATGACTGTTGCCTTAATAAACTCCTTATTACTGCTTATTAATAGTTAGTAATGTAGTTGTTAAGTTTAGGTATTGGGGAGGATTAAGGGATGTAGAATTTGGTCATGCAGATTAAAGCATTCATATGTTCTTTATAAGTAATAAACAGCCAATGTCCTAATATGCATGCTAATAAGCAACTGGTTAATAGTGAGAATTAGACCCTAAACTAAAGTGTTGCCAAAGGTTTTTTTTTCTAAACAAGATGACTCCAACATAAATACAAATGGTAAATAGAAATGCGTTTAAAACTTGATTTTGAAGATCATTTTCTTCATTGTGGCCCCATTTGTTTGTCATTGATCACCTAAAAGGGCTGGAATAAGAGGTGAAACAGACCTTGCAGACAGTCAAAAGTCTGGCTCTGGAATACTAAAGTTCGTCTGGTTAATAGTTTACAGACTGAAGCGTTAACTCTTCTGACACATAGGGGGAGATGTCAAGCCATGGCAGTGGTCCAGACGTGCAGCGATGCAGCAATCTGCTCTCTCAGTAATACTTCCACAGCTGACGCTACTGTTATCACTGCTAATGTGGCGGCGTGATGATTGTTTTTTCCATCTTGAGCTCAGTGCAGCGTGTATCACTTATACAACGACAACAGGAGCATGGGGCCGGGGAGCACAAGGAAAAATATGCCAAGAACGAAGTAACGGCAATGCATTCCAGATGACTACTAAGCGGCATGTGTGTCTGTGTGTTCGCAGAGTGTGCCGTGCCTGGGGCGTGTAAAGTGAGGTCTTGGGTGAGTCTTGGTTGACTCAGTGA